TCTCGCCGTCGTCGTCGTCGTCGTAGCGTAGCAGCAGCAGTAGCAGTGGCAGTAGCAGTAGTAGCAGCAGCAGCAGCAGCAGTAGTAGTCGTAGTAGTAGTAGCAGCAGCAGTAGCAGTAGCAGCAGTGGTACACGATGATGGCGATGATGAGGACGGTATATGACGACGAGGACACACATTTGCTATCATCCTGCGTGATGCACTTACTGCATAAAGCCGTATGAACAAGGCAAGCTGCTTCCTCTCGGGCTGGATCTCCAAACGAAGCCTGCGCATGGCCAGGCTCGAAGTTTGGAGGCATTTAGTGCTTAGAACTTAGATGTATGCAGAGAAACCGTTTTCCAGAATGCTTGTCTGTGGTGGGGAGAGAGAGAGAGAGAGGGAGAAGTAATCATGCCGAGTAACGTCTTGTCCACTTCAGTCGGCTTCAAGGTGGCCTTCCAGCAGATCACCAGCACAGCCGAAAGGCAATGAAAGAAAGCCCTTTGAAATAAATTCCTAAACTCAAAAGCCACTGCCGGCTCAAAAGTTGTCACATAGGCACCACATCCACTCGATCGCAAGCAGGAGTTCTTACATGTAGGAATTCGAGTGGTCGTGTGCCTGCTGGCTTCCCATTGCAACCAGATTCGCCAATACTACCTCCTGTAGTTTAGGGACCCGACCACAAGCTGTGCCAACGTCAAAGGCCAGTTCGACGAGTCAAAGAAGTCCTCCCGCGAAGACTTGCGGTCGCGCACTGGGACTCAGCCAGATGGGGTTCTTAGATCAAAGGTTTGCCGGTGTGACACAGGATCATAGCGGTCTGTTCGTACTTGCCAGTAAGCTCGAAGCATTGAGACAACTCGACGGATCTTACAAGACAGACCACCCAAGTTCGAACAAGGGCCAAGGCATGCTAAGGGCCGCCTGCGGAGACGTTTGTTGTCATAGTCTACGCTTGTTTCTAGTGAAGCGAAGGGTAATGGTGCGATCACTCACCTGTTGTGCTCAGGGACGCCTAAGCCGTCTGCGCACTGGTACTACTGAGACTATCTGCCAGTACTTTCAAGCATTTAGCTCCTAGGCTACCCCCCACCACGACCACGAGCAAGACGGAGGCTCCAGACAGTTGTTCTTGTTCACGATCATCAGCCTGGCGGCACGCTTCGGATCCGGACAGTAGACAAAAAGTGCACCGAGCGGGAAAACCGGACCCAAGAGCCCTGGACGCGTAAAGAACTGCCAAGGTGAAAACATGAAAACGACGACGCTTGGGACCAATCAGGCATAAACTGCACTGGCACTACTCGGTTTTGTGCTCAAAGACTGCAAAGTGTCCGCGGACCATCGCTGCGAGTTGCGAGCCACAAACCAAGAATCCCAAACTTAAAAGTTGACCCAACAACATATCAAGCCGCTCGGCTCCAGTAATGCCATTAATACTTCCCTAGAACGCTTAAACCCCCTGCGCCCAAACCCTCTGGAGCCAGAAAACATGAGATCCTGTGGCAAAAACGGAGCCTTGCGAGGTCGGTAGAAAGCCTGGCGAGACAACAAACTCCTGTTCATGGCCTTCGGGCTTTAAGAGGGTTTAGGGTTTAGTCTTTGGGGTTTAAGGTTTAGGGCTTAAGGTTTAGGGGTCAGGGTTTAGCGGTTACGCTTTCGCAACTCGAACTCCGCCAGACGAGGTCTCTTGCTACGACGACTCACTACAACTCGGATCAGCTCGGGACCGTTAAGGGTTTACTGTAGGGGCCTAAAGAATTACCCA